AAAGCACAATAGGTGTAGTCAACTTCGAATTTGTTAACACATAGGGGTTTTAGTGAAGTTTTTTTTTGACAAGGAGATATTTGACAATTAGAGATAACAGAGGGGTGGTATTTGCAATTAACCCTTAGTATTAGTATTAGTACTAGCATTGTGTGGTATTTTGTCTTTTGTGTTCAACTCATCATTATATCAAGCTAGTGACATATACATCTCAACTCTTTTGGAATATTTACAAGTGGTATTTTGGTTTCATAATTGTGCATTACCGATTGGACGTCGTAAAGATAAACTTGTAGGTTATCTGAATCTTTATTCCGTTACCTTTTTGATACCCTCTTTGTTGTTAAGTCTGTTATTTTGCATAAGATTCACATGGTGTAAGTAGATTGAATTCCATAAAATAGTTGTACCATATGTTTTAATTGACTTCGCTTAATCTGCATATCGCGTTTTGGACATTGTGTTTTCTTCTAGTAATATTTAATTGAATTTCATATGTTACAAATTTGAATTAAAAGGTACCGTTTATATTTTCTATTTCTATTCATTTTGTTTTACTGATTTGTTACAAAGTGATGATCACTTACATATTACTATTTTTATGATTTTAAAACTTACCTTCGTGCAACGCACGGGTGAAGTACTAGTAATATATAAAAGTTGAACTCCACCCTTAATTGCTTAACATTTGGCAATTTCATATGGTGGCATGTCCTCAATGTCATCCCATGTGACAAATTGATTGGTGGAAATAAATCATAAAAAACATATCTCCATTGAGCTTAGTTTTGTAAAATTTTCTAATCTAGTTTATGGAAATTCATTAATTGTATAATTATAAGAAAGCATATGACATTGACAACTATATTGTGTTATAATTGTGTAAAACTAAAGTATTTATAGAAGTGACTGATTTTATTCCTTCTATTTTTCCATCTGCTTTTTCACCCGTGCATTGGTCACGGGAGGCGCTAGTGCCATCGCAGAGAGCATCGTACGTTCGTTCCTCAAAGACGCGCCAAAATTTGCATAGCCGACATTCAAGAACACGTCAGCCGACACCTTTGCGAAGCCCTCCTTGATGTGGGGTCAACCTCGTTCATCCACTGCGACGTCACGATTGAGGATGACGTAAAACACACAGTGGAACACGCTGTCGCAAAATTCGGAACACTCGACATAATGGTGAACAACGCCCGCCGAACAGACCCGCCCCGAGCCCACACGGACATACGAGGGTCCGATCTCTCGTCGTTCGACGGAGTCTTTTATGTGAACGCTAGGGGGGTGTTTTCCGGGATATATGAAGCACGCGGCCTGCGTGATGATTCCGGTCAAAAAGTGAGTGATAGTGTCGATCTGCAGTGTGTCGGAGGTGGTTGAGGGAGTCGGGTCCCATGCATACACTGAGTCGAAGCATGTGGTGGTGGGAGTCACGAGAGTGTGGCAGCCGACAGGGGCGGACCCATGTGTAGCCGGGGGGCTCCCGTCCCTGCACAATTTTTTTCTACCAATTTTCTGTTAAATTTTGTTCTTTTTTTTTTTGGTATTTATCTATTAATTTATAGACTTTGGCCCCCCAGTATTTAAATTTTGTACATTTTAGCCCATGATTTTTTTTCCCTTCTCTTAATTCACGCCTATATTTTAGCCCTACCACAAAACCCCCTAGGTCCGCCCCTGGCGGCCGAGTTGGGCAGGCACGGGGTTCACGTAAACTGTGTGTCGTGTTATGGTGTTCCGATGAAAATGTCGTTGTTTCCTCTAATCGCTCGACATGACGGTGTTGGTGGTTTTACTTTTACCCATACGCAAGTGCACGTATCGAAAAAAGTAATATAGTGGACAATTAAGTCCGAATATCGATCCCACGTAGAATATTTAATTATCTAATCCTAAATGCTAAATTATATCGATTAATAATCCTAAATTAAACTAAAGCAAAGTAAACAAGCAAAAGCATGAAAACGATTAAACACCAAAGATTTATGAGAGTAAACAAGCCTAAGATTTTATTCTCCCCAATATCTATGTGATTATTAATTCCTCAATTCATTCAATTATTCAAGTTATTAAATCGGATTACTAACCCGAGATGTTAAATTATTCATAACCCGCTTCCGCATGTATTATGATTCTAATACTCTAGATTTAATTACTGTATTCCTATGCAATTAATTCTTGAACACAATACGAAGCACGAATCTCAATAATAGCTACCTAAGAGATTAACTATATTCCTACGTTAATACCACAAAGGCTCTTCTACCAAAGTTCTAATTATTAACCCAGTCATCCGATTCATGCGATTAACAATAACAGAAAAGCACATAAAGTGGTCAGTTTCATGCACTTAATAAAACAAGTAGAAGAAATAATCCGGGATTAAAACTTGCATAAAATCATGGAAAATAGTTTATAAATCCCACATAGGGTTCAAAATAAAATCCTAGAATTAAAGAGTTTAGCTACTCACGATCAAATTAAAAACTAAATAAAAATAAATCATGGAAGATACATCTATGCTTGAATCTTCAAAGTCTTCGTTATTGCTTCTTTGCTCTCAAATTTTGTGTAAAAAGAAGACTCCTAATTGTGTGCTTGAGATGACTTTTTATTATGTGGAAAAAATTGGGGAAAATGTAGTTTCCTTGTAATTTTCGGAAGTTTCTTTACTGCACAGTCTTTTCTTCTCGGATGTTTGACTTCTCCAATTTTGTCCACCTTTTCTTATTAATTGTAGTTTTGACCCTCAATTTATTCAATTCTTCAATTTGTGTCTGAAACACAATAAATCAAAACTTTAAGCACCAATTATCAATAAAATATACCAAAAGCTCCAAATTAAACGCATATTAAGTGTAAAACTATACACTTAACAGACGGCGGCGGAATTAAAAATGAGGATGTGATTGCGCGCTATCATCAGCATGTCAGTGATGCGGTGTTGCAAGGTGTGGAGTTGGTTGTCGAGGATGTTGCCAATGCCGTGGTATTCTTGTCGAGTGATGAGGCGAGGTACGTTAGTGGTGAGAATTGATGGTCGATGGTGCCGTGGTGGATTCACGCCAGTGAAAAACTCGTTTCGGTTGTTTGGTTGAATTTATAATCTCTTTTTGCGTGGAAAATTCTTGTTCGAATATTTCTGTTACGTACCTTTTGTTGTGTGGAAATTTATGTTCCTCAAATTTCTTTTTGGACTTTCTTACGTACAATGACACAACTACCCTCAAATATTATTTTTTAGCCTCATTTCACAACTACGTAATTTTTAACTCAAGTTTGCCCTAGAATCTCGAAATTCCCAAATTCAAATAAAATTCCAACTTTTTTGAAATCAAATTTCAACATCCTCTTCATACTCTTCAAACAACTCTACAAGGACAAAAAATCAAACCATACACGAATTTGAGGTTCGAACATAATTTTCCCGTTATGTCGATGAAAAACAAACACGTCTATAATAATTACATTGTTGAATCAACAATGGAAACATATGTTGGCAAGCCATAGTGCAATATTATTCATATAATTTTTGAAATTGCAATTGTTTTTGTTAGTGTGATCCCTATCGAGCAATTTGTGAACCAATTTGGATTTTTGTACAATATCGAATCCATGTGTTTAATAAATTACAAATGTATAAACTGTTGGGTTATTATAAAATAATATATTTTATTATAAAATATAATATTGGCTTTGCGCACATATGAGGTTATTTAGATCACTATTTGAGACCATCAAATTTATTATTCTCCTACATAAAACACCATAAATTTCTTTAATTCTATATTAAATAGAGGTTTTATGGGCTCATATTATATACTATATATAGGGGGCATTGTGGCTTTGTAAGAGTATGAGAGAAGAGAGTACAAGAGAAGATACAAAGAAATATTTTTCATCTATACTATGTACATATACTTTGAGCTTTTGTTGTGTGTCGGTTGTAAGCTTCTGCTTCACTTGAATGTGCAGTTTCAGTGAAGTTATAGTGGAGAGATAGACTGGGCTGTTGTATCCCATAGGCGACACGTACGGAACCTTTTTGCACCTCAATCGAGAAGCGGTCGTGAAATTTGTCTTAAGAGAGCGATCTAGTCCTCGCCTCACCTTATCTATTTTCATATTATTGTGTATATTATTGCAGCTAATTATCAACTATGAAAAGAGAGAACAAATGGAGTTCGATCGTCATTCTGTTATTTGGTGATCAATCTTCCAAGTGCAACCAAAGTTCTAACATAAACATATAGTGAGTTAATGAGCAGAGGATGTTGGATGTCCTACAAATCAAAATGTAAGAAAATGTTTAATAACCAAATGAGGGCTTAGACGAAATATTAGCCGAGGTCAAATTTAGTTGAATAAAATTGCATATATTAACACTTGTAATGCGAACCGAGGCACGTCAATATTACCCCCTCCGGTTCCTTTTTATACGCATTTTCTAGCTTTGCACAAGGATTAAGGTTTTCATTAAATGTAGCTTGATTTTTAGCAAAATATATATTTTTCGACTAAAATACCATTGTCACGCTAATTAATAAGAGAGGGTGTTTGAGATAGGTAATAAGGGTAAATATGATAATTCTGCAATTAATGCAGTATTGGAGTTCTAAAGTGACAGATAATGTGGATAAAAAAAATTCTCAAATTTGACAAATATAATGGAACTAAAGGAGTATTTCGACCAGTTTTAGTCATTAGAAACTTCTCATTTTTTTCTCAAATCAAAGAACAGCCCGGAATTTTTAATTAATTAGAGTTTGCTTGATTTTAAATGTTTGCATGTTAGGGTGTAAATCCACTTTCATTTTTCATAACAAATTAGTCCAATTTCAATAAATTCTACATTAATATCTCCTTCCAATTTATATTTCCTTGCAAAATCCTTTAACAGTCCCTCTTGTACTACATAACCACCACCCAATCCCCCCTAAATAAACACAACCTAACATAAAAAAACGTTAAAAAACAACAAAATAGACACAAAGAAGATGGGCCTACCCAGTACACACAATGTTGTGCTTCTAATTATTCTGCTCGGTGGGGTTCTCACTATGAAAATCGACACAGTCTTTGCTCAAGGACCCTCAAAACCCGAGGGTGATTCAACTTGTTGGTATATGGCTAGTTTCGCGGCTTACTGTATGTCGTTTATGCAGGGAAATTCAACGAAATTTCATGTGCCTAGTAAAAAATGTTGTACCTACGCTCAAAAGACTAACATTGTGCAATTTTGCAAGAGATTTGTTTTAGAAAACGAGCGGGTATACAACGCGGCCAAAGTCGTTGAGGTGGCACGCTATTGCCGAAACCCTCTTCCAAGTGGTACAAAGTGTGGAAGTAAGTCTCGTATCTCTTAAAATCATATTTATATTTTTTTAGTTATATTTTACTATTTACTCCTAAAAATTATTTTATGACACTGATTTCTTGTAATGCAGATCACACTGTCCCATGAAGTGAAGTGTAGGAAGAACTTGAAGCTATAACATTGTCCTCATAATGAATCACAACCGGTTCATATTTTACGTCAACAAATTAAATAAATGAAAGAATTGTGTATTTATCGCATTAAACACAACTGCTATATTGTCGAACAAAAAAAAAGATAAAATTTGTCGTTTCTTTGTCAAAATTATGACATAATTAAGTATTTATATGAATACATAATCACTCCCTAAACTCCACTAATTTTTGTGGGCAAATATATAAACTTTAATACCGCTATAAATTTTTGGAATATATATAAAAAAAAAAATTGAAGTAGAGTTTTGCATATATTATAAGGATGCTGAATGTTAGATATAATTAAAATGTGAGGAATGTTTTGGACTTTTTGAAAGTCAAGGGGTCAAAGTATGATTAGAGTTAATCGCACAAAAAGTAAACTAGTATATTCTTAAAGCTAGTACTTCATCCGTGCTCTGCACGGATGTCAGTTCAAAATGAGAAAAAATAGTACTATATAAGTAACTATCTCTTTATAACAAATCTAATTTAAGTAAAACAAAATGAAAGAAATTCAAAGAAACATAAACTTTAAGTTTTAATCGAGAGTTGTAAAATATGAAATATGCAATTAAATATTACAAAGAAGAAAACACAAAGAGCAAAATACGATATGGAAATTAAATGAACTCATTTAAAACATATGGTACAAGTATTACATATGGTACACCCATCGCTCCCCTCGGCATCTATTAACCTAATCGATGTACATTTACCACATAATTTCTATTTTTGACAACATTCTCCGCGACTCCGAAGGACAAATAAAAGTCTCCTACATCAATGGTATGCAACAGTACGCGACGACCATATGTGACGGCTCAGAATCTTCCATAGTTGATTACTCAAAAATGAAGTTTGTAAACAAGCTTGTTTTTTAGATCTACAGATCTATGGTCGCACTATTTGTTGAATCATAAATATTTGTTTCCTATAAAATTTGTTTTATCAAGAGTCCACAACAAAGAGGAGATCATCGTTGTCGAAAAACATAAAATATTGTAGTAATGTACACTCAGAGTCAACTATAAAATCGGATTGTTCACTATATTTTTTCCAAAGTCAACTATAAAAAATTAGATAGTCAACTATAATTTTATGACGACAACTACAAAAAATTGGTAGTTAACTATATTGTTACCAGAGTCAACTACAAAAATTAGATAGTCAACTATAATTGTTCCGATGTCAACTATAAGAAAAAATTGGTAGTCATCTATAATTTTGCCATTAATTCACTATATTATTTTTCAATTTAATATACTATGGTGTTATAAAATTGAATACTCATGATAAAAATCTCATCTCCGATGAAAACATGAATTTCATAGAGTAGAAAATAGAAAATGAGATGTATAAGAAAAGATAAAGTAGTGAGAAGAAAGAGAGAAAAAATGAAACAAAAACAGACGAGAATATAGGAAATGAGGGAAGAGAAAGGAGAGAGAGAGAGAGAGAGAGAGAGAGAGAGAGAGAGAGAGAGAGAGAGAGAGAGAGAGAGAGAGAGAGAGAGAGGGGAGAGAAGGAATAATAGAAAAAAATACGAGAAGAGAGGAAATTATGGAAGAGAGAGAAGAGAGGAGAGAGGAGAGAGAAGAAATAATAAAAGAACAACCCGTCAAAAGGACGGTTGAGAGGGGGGGGGGGGGGGGGAAGAGAGAAAGAGTGGGGGAAGAAAATACAAAATTGGAATAATAAACACGTGAGGGGTGTCTCACAATTCCTAATGTTAATTTTAGATTTCTTTACAAATGGTAAATATTAAAATGGGCATGAACTCTATTGTTTTGTGTATTGAGGGGGTTATCCCACATTTTCCCTACTATAATCATAATACCAATGCTAATATATAATAGGGGCAATTTGCTATAGGTCCCTCTATATTGTAATTTATGTGTGTAAATCCAAGTAAAAATATAATGTTTTAATAAATTAATAAAATTTATTATGGCAAAAATACCCATAATTAAATCAAATCAAATCCCAAAAACTATCTCTATCAAAACAAATTCCCAAACATCTCTCTTCCAAATATTAACTAAAACAAATAAATTAATTCATAACAAATATATACAATTTATTTTACAAACACATACTCTAAAAGCGCCACCACAGCCCCACCACCGCGTATGATCCGGGAACTGCGACGCCTATGACTCCGCGAACTGCAAATAGCAAACTGAAAATTAGATTTTATATTATTGAATTGCAAACAACAAAATACCTATGATTTCGCCAAATGGAAACAACAAACTGAAAAAATAAAATCCATAATTCGTATTACTGAATTACGAACAAAAAAATACCTATGACTTCGCCAAATGCAAACAGCAAACTGAAGAAAAACATTCAGCAAAACTTGCATTATTGAATTGCAAGCAATAAACTACCTATGGTTTGGCCAAATGCAAACAACAAACTGAAAAAATAATAATAAAAAAATATAGCATCATTAAAAACATCAACCAAAAAATTGTTTATGAAACAATTTCCAAACAACAAAAACATTAAACAAAATGTTTGTAAAATGTAACTTAAGACATACCTTGCAAATTGTTAACCAGAGGAATCAAATCTCAACATCAAACGCAATTCTTCAAACAACAAACGAAGTTAAACCAACCTGCAAACGGAAATTGCTAACAACAAAAACGATGGGAAGGTCCAACATACGGGAGACACAATGCGAATTTTGGCTATGATTTTGGATTTCTAAATTTTTTTTGTCCTCTTTAATTCTTCCACCAAGAAATCATCTCATAATCTAAAAAAATCCCTATTTTTTTCCTTCTCTATAATATTTCTTTATCAAAAAAGTAAAGAAAAAGAAAAAAAAAAAAAAAAAAAAAAACAACAGGGAAGCTCGAGAGAGGGAGAACGGCGTGAGACACATAGGAGAGAAGGATATGAGAGATTAAATATAGGGTGAGAGAAACTTGAGATTGGAGAGAGAAGATATATGAGATTTGTTTTCTTATTAATTGAGGGTGATTATGTCTATACACTAATTATTTTATTTTATTTATATTATTTTTTTGAGTCAAAGGACCTATGCCTATATTCATCTAGCAATCAGGATCTCTACCTATATAAGTCCAAAATACGGGATGTCTAGCAAATTTGCCCTATATAATAATATCCATGCTAATATTTAATAATGTTAATGCTAATGGTAATGATAATGCAATGCAAATACTAATGTCAGTACTAATACTAATAAATATCTTATTGATAAAGCTAATACCAATAATAATGGTAATATTGGTATCAATTAGGGGTGGGCATTCGGGTCGGGTCGGGTTATTCGGGTCGGGTTATTCGGGTTTTTTGCAAAAAAAAAATTACCCGAACCCGACCCGAAATAACCGGGTACCCGGTTGCCGGGTACCCGGTTATCTCGGGTCGGGTTCGGGTTTTGCTATTTTCCTCTTTTTTTTTTTTTTTTTTTTTTTTAGAAAAATAAACAGTAACTAATTTTATTTAAGATATACATATATATACAGACATATATATATATATATATATATATATATATATATATATATACAGACATATATATATATATATATATATATATATATATATATATATATATATATATATATATATATATATATATCTATATATATATATATAAAAAAAAAAAAAAAAAAATACACGCGGGCCCCCGCGCGCGCACGCGGGGGGGATTTCAAATACGCGCACCCCCCGGGGGGTGGGCGCACCAAGCACACACACGCGGAAAAACATATATATATATATATATATATATATATATATATATATAT